GCCACCGGACCCAAAACGTTAACTCTGTATTTTCCTTCACAGATGCTGCCAGACCTGCTGACCTTTTCCAGCAACTTTGTTTTTGTTCCTGTGTATGTGCAGGGTTTGATGGAGCGAATGGCTTCTTTAGCATGCTTAGACTAGAAGCTAGAGAAGTGCAGCATCGTGAGGTTATCCATAGGCTTGCGGTAGAGCCTTAAACAGATCATCATTCGCAGCAAACTATCCAGCTTTCAGGAGAACAGCGACCACAAGCCTGCTACTACAACCTCTGCAAGACGTGTCAAATCATCGGCATGGATACTACCATTACATGTGGGAACACCACCCACCATTTACATGGCAGATTCTCATGTGACTCGGCCAATGGTGTTATCTCATACGCTGCAGGCAAGGATGCCCCAAGGCATGATATATTGGCAAGACAAGGATGAGTGGACACCACACAACAATTGCCAGACAGGAATGATCCCTCCCAGTTGGAGAACACTTCAGCGGTCAAGGACATTCAGCTTACTATCTTCGGATAAGCGTCCTCCAAGGCGGCCTTCAGAATATGCAACAATGCAGAATCGCCGAGCAGAAACTGATAGCCAAGTTCCGTACCCATGAAGACAGCCTTAACGATGATCTTGGGTTCAAGTCGCACTACATCTGACCCCACCACAGTGTTCTGTATCTGTAAAACATTCCTTACTGTCCTGTTATGTCACCATCACCTGGATAAGTTGCTATGATCTCTTTACCTTAATTTGTTTGTACAATTTTGGATTACTTAGTACTTTGGTTAGACCCTCAGCGTGCAAATTCTTATACCTATCATGTTATTTCCAGTCATTTGGTTTGTCTCCAGCACCAACCTATTTTTAATTTTTTTGTAATTAGCTCTCTGCCTCATTTAATTGAATTATAGATCATCCCTTCACTTGTTATTCAGCCATTGACACTTTACGCACACATTCTAATACTTTGGATCACCTGCAGGGGTTTATTATTTGACACTCACTCATACCATTTGTATGACCTTTTGATCTCTCTGCCCTTGATCCTTCTGCCCATAAATTCTGTGTTCTGTGTGCTTCTCTCTCACTTCAACTGACAAAGCGTCTACGCTCCAAAAGCTTGCGATTTCAAATAAACCTGTTGGATTATAACCTGGTGCCATGTGACTTCTGACTCTTTTCAGAGAGCAAGGGGTGTAATGTTTAGGATGATGACTTCTCATCAGTACAGGAGCATGTCCTTGCAATGCCAGAGAGATTTTGTGTACATGTTCCAAAAGGCTGGGCCCAGCCAGCGATAGCTCATGCTTGATTTGATACTCTGCAAAGTTCAGAGAGTAAAACAATCAGGATCTGGTGCGTGTGAAATAATTATAACCTTTGTGTAATATCAAAAGAGGTGAAAGAGGCAAGAGTGGGAGCAGATAAAAGAATCAATCATGTTAATGAAATTTACGTTGTAAAATGTTGCTAATAAGAAGTTACCTATTTGCGAAATTCCTCTTTACTTTTGTTTGAAAACAGGCAAAACCTCATTTAAAATGTACAGCTTAATGACCTTATTCAATTTCATAGAAGTTGTGTGTCAATGAACATAGTTTTATGATGCTAAAAATACCTGGATACAGACAATTAAATTGATCACTAATATTCAATATGACAAAAACTTTAAAAGTATTTCATTGACTGGGGAAAGCTCTCCAATTCTGCTTGGACAAAGAAAGGAAAATAGTCTTCATTTGACTTATTCTGTAGACCAATACCCTTCAAATATCTTCCCAGCTCCTTCTGTTATTATTTTTTCATGTTATCTCCCTCCACTGTCCCTCTGGATGCCCATTCTACACCATCACCTGGGCTCTGTAGCAGGTAACTAAACCTAAACCATCCACACATCACCTAAGCTTCCCTCTTATTTCCACTGTTAGTGGATTTCCGCTGTTTATGACAATCCAAATATTATCAGAGTATTATTGTTCCCATAAGAATCTTAAAAATTTTGTTCATGGGCTGAGACCTGCACCAGGCATTATTCACTTGCTGGCACAATCGTCCTTTCATTAATGAGACTGGAATTAATCATTTGTCTGTTCTTAGGTATTCTTTTATCAAAACTGTCTTGAATGTTTGGAGGTAAAGTATTTAAACCCACAAGTGAAAATTAATTAGCCTTAGGAAACATCTTATCTTACGCTGTGAGCAAGATAAATTGTTCACAACCCATTAATTACAAAGTGCTAACAGTAGAAGTAGCTGTACAATTTACAATATTTGACTACTATGTCCACTCAGTCTTCTGTCTCCCAAACTGGACAGTCCCCAGGAAGTCCAGGCACTCCTCATAGCTTAGTTTGGTTGAGTTAGGAATTAAACGGTTGATCCTATTTGGTACAGCCTCCAATGTCTAGATATCCATGAAATATTAAATGCAACCCTCTTTACACCAAGTGTGAATATGAATTAGATTAATTGAACCATTAAATAAGTTAAATGTGATTAGCATGAAGTAATTACTGAGCATTTCTCTGCTGAGGGAGATGGAAGTGATGGAGAAAGTAAAGTTGAGGAAGTCACATGGTTGTACAGAATTTGAATATTGCTGAAAAACAAAGACGTTGCTGAAGCTTTCTGTTCAGCTGTGGTATAAATTGTTTGAAATTTGGCATTCTTGCTTTTATCCTGAAGTCAGAAAGTTTCAACATGTCTCACTGTTCAGCGCTATGAAAGTTCTAGAAGTTCTGAATTGTCTTCTAAATGTAGCAGCTTTAACATTACTGTTTGATTGCTCGTCAGTGTCATCATCTTCCTACAAAGTTGACTGACATGGATGTCTACTTCTATCTGTCCTGTGCTTCCCTTGCACATTCCAAATAGGCCAGCTGGATCCCATCTATTATGTCAATCATCTGCCATCTCCTCTACTTCTCTTGCCTATATCTCCATTGTGTTCCAACAATTGTCTAACTCCCACTTACAATAATGACGTGACCAAAATATTGTATCTTTCTTACTTAGAGATTATGCACTAAGTTCTTCTTTACACCAGCTATTTCTAGCATCTTCGATTACTTTTATCTTGTTGTCTACTGTTCCCACTTTCATATAATGTTGGCTCTGTATAAGCATGTTTTGCATAACATACTTTCTCATCCCTAGACTTCCAAACCTTGCAGAATCAATACAAGAAAGTTACCAAAACATCAAATAGGGAATTCTCTTCTCAGAATGGTGGGAATGAGCAACATTCTAGAAAAAGGGAGTTAAGGTGGAATTTGATTACCATATGAAGGAAATGAGAAGAAGATAAAGATAGATGAAGAAGAATGGGAGGAGACTTGAGTGGAGCATAAACTGCTTGGGCCATATCCTTCAGCTTAGTCACCCCTTTGGAGGAATCACTTTCATAACTTTGAAAATTTGGTTCTGATCACTTCAATGTGTCTCTTCCGAAAAGTGTGTACTATCTACAAGATGCACTGCAGAAATCCACCAAAGATCCTCAGACAGAACCTTCCAAACCCACGATCACTTCCATCTAGAAGGACAAGGGAAGTAGACATATGGGAATACCACCACCTCCAAACCACTCACGATCCTGACTTGGAAGTATATTGCCATTCTTTCAGTGTCACTAGGTCATAATCCTGGAATTCCCTCCCCAGTGGCATTTGGGTCAATGCACAGCAAATGGGCAACAACATTTCAAAAGGCATCTTATCACCACCACCTCAAGGGCAACTAGGGACAGGCAATAAATTCTGGCCAGCCAGCTATGCCTACATGCCACAAATGAACAGAATAAAACAGTTTTTTTCCCCTTCTCTGTAAGTGGAGTTCCTACCACAATGAATCATCTCAGCTGCTTTCCCTTTTCACTCTCCCAAGAACAACAATATTTCAAGATCAAATACTTCAAATGAGCTCTGAGTAGAGGATCTCACTCTGCAACTGTTTGATCTTCTGCATTGAGCTTGATTTCATAGTTCATAACAATTCATCAACTAGAGGGAGTTGAGAGAACAAGGTACAGAGGAAGGAGGGGCCAGGGTACCAGGGAGGGAGGGGACAAAGGAAGGGCTTGGGAGAGGGAGGATCAGGACAGATAAAGGGAAGGGAGAAGGCAAGGTACAGGAGAGGGAGGGGATGAATATAAATTATGTGAGAGGAGATGAAAGCTGATTACAGGAGAAGGAGTGAATGAAAGAAGGGTAAAGGGAGGGAAAGTGAGGATGGGGTTGTTGGAGGTAGGTGATATTCTGGGGGTGAAACCGGAGATTGAAAGAATCCAGCTACACAATATAGCACGATATTCAGTGGTAAAGTATTTAAAATCTGTTTTCTGTGATTGGTATTATCGTTAGCTTCTTATACTAATCCTAGTGAACTATTTTTTTCTGTCAACAGTTTAGGTGGGAGCTTTGAGAAAGATGATGATCCATGGACAAGGCATTACGTGTCAGAGATGAGAGGGGCTAGCCGTTCAATCTCCCACCCAGAACTGTGTATCGTTGGCCAGGGGCTTCAATGAGCCTTACAGACACTGTTGATAACACTGTGCAACTTCCAGTACTCCCTGTCCAGGATGACCTCAGATTATCTGGTTTTATAGTAGCGTGACAAGATAATCCTATCTGGTGTGTACTTAAGGAAGTTGACCTACTTAAAATAATATGCACAACATGTTGGAAAAGAGTGTACACCGTTTATCTTTTCGAGTGAGACTGCATGGCTGTGAAATTTTGAGAATTTCTTCATTGACCTGTAGGAAAACTTCCTTGGAAATAGAATTGAGGTGAAACAAATGGAATGAAAATCATCTGCTGGAGATTGAAGGAACTTCCATTAGTCCCATTCAAGATCAACAGTTCTCAGCATCGGTGCGAAGAACTAAATAATTATGAGGAATAATTTAAGGATAAGTAAACATTTGGCATGGAATTTCAGTGAAAGTTGAACAAATTGCGAGCCGTTAGTTTGTAAAGGATCCCTAAATGTGAAACCTTATGGGTGAGAATGAATCATCCACCGACAGCTTCTTGCACACACAGACACAATTTGGTGACAAGTTTCATGATCCACTGCTCTTTCTAATAATCCGACCAATTTTTTATCACCTTGTTGTATTGTCCGTAATGAAACAAGGAAGAATAACTAGTACAATTGGGGAGCTGGACAAAGAGGTTGAGTCCTCTAGCCCTTTTGGTGCAGAACATTTAAAGATTTCTCATTATTAGCCAATTTCATTAAGGATCAGAGGATTTTTCTTGATTTTTGCCATTCCCTGTGGCGAACCTCCTTGGTTTCCATGCCTTCATATGGAATTGTTCCATGATGGTAATGAAGCATTGACGGATGTAGAAGTAAAACCCTATTGAATACTCAACATCTTATGACAGTGAACTCAAGCTATTCCCTCAGAGTTTAAATGTGCTGGTTTAATTAGCACTAGATGTCTAATTTGGTAGAACGCTTTGATAAATCTATAGGATTCCTCTATCAAAATGTGCTTTCAACAGAGAGCATGCAACATCCGTAGGAAGTGGGGGATACTAGAATAAGTCAACTGGTATCACTTTCAGAACTGGCATAAGTGAAGGCCAAGAGCCACTGTACAAGATGCCATCATGGGTATAGAGTGTTAAAGGCAAGAATATATCTCAGTGATAAATTTAAATGAATATTTAACCTGTCCTTATCATGCTTTATGTTTAATAATAGACAAAATTATCCTTTTAAATACATACTTGAAAAGGAAGAATTTTTTTTAGGGCTGCTGGAGAAGAGCAGGGAATGGAACTGGTTAGAGAGCTCCTCCATAGATTTGGCATAGGCACAATGGCTAAAGCCAAATGGAATCATCTAGCTTCCTGCACGATGATTTTTCCCTTCCCATAAATCCAAGAGATCAAGAATTTTGTGAGTGGTTGAGTCAAACAGAAGTTGTGTCTCTCAGTGCCCCAGTTCAGGCTGTAACCTAAATGCTTGCTGGGAAAAACTGGCTGCCCATTAGGCAATACCTTACAGGGTCAATAGGATTACCTCCAGAAGAGGTTGGGCAGTTGATTGAAACTGGGATCTGATTCACTTCAACCAAGATCTTGTTTGTCCACTACAATACAGAACTAGGTGGGAACATTGGAAAGATCAGCAACATGGCCAAATAATGGTTAATTTAATAAAGAGCCCCTGGCATAGTTAGAAACCCAAGTGCGGGAGCCTTTTCCGCTTAATACCTCTTTGAAAAACTCTACACAGATGAGATGTATACAAAGTAGTAAGCATTTCAGGTAATTTCTTGTTATCACATACAAATTAAACTCAAATGGAAAGGCTTGCTTGACTTTCATGAGTTGACTAGAAAACCATGAGATTTAGGAACAGAAGTGGGCCATTCAGCCCATCAAGTTTGTTCTACCAGTCAGTGAGATCATGGCTGATTTTATAATCCTCAACTCCATTTTCCTATCTTTTCCCCATAACCCTCAATTTCCTCACTGGTTAAAAATCTATCTCAGCCTTCAATACATTTATATGATCCTGTCTCTCAGACTTCGGTGATAAAGAATTCCACAGATTCATTACCATTTTAGATAAGAAATTCACCCTCACTCAGTCTTAAATGTACAGCCCCTTATTCTGAGATTATGCCCTCTGGTCTTGGACTCTCCTACTTCTCTCCTGTCAGGTTGTCTAAGAATCTTGTATGTTTCAATAAGGTCACCTCTCATTCATTTACATTCCAACAAGGCCCAATGTTGCCTATAATATGTAGCATTTGAAAACCAAGTAAGAAATAATAGATATAAATTTTAAGGTGCTAAAGTGTTACATACCCCATTGAAATGGCCCTTAACTGCTAATTACACATTCAGATGTTTTCAATAGAGTCCCCAGAATGAAATATAAAAATATAGTTTATCATTTAAAAATAGGATGTTTTCAAAACAGATGATATTGTATTATTTAATACCAACACATGAAATACTGTACAGTGCAATAATTATTTTGAAAGGAAAATATAGATTGTTGACTACAAACAAAAATAATGTGTAGTTGTTTGTTGATTTCCTCAATGCTAATGCAGCATATGTTCGGTTAATGTAACTTTGTGCAATTGTGTAAAGCAGGTGATAGTGAAGAGATAGTCAGCTTTACATTTTTATATTTCTATTGAGGTCAACTCAGCAGAAGTTCTGCTTGTGTTATTTTAATTAATTCAAAGAATGAGTTAAACAAATAATTCAAATATCAAACAGAAGAAATTTCATCCAGATCTAGTTAACCAACATCTACACAGAAGTATCCCAATACTGTGTCCTTTGTAAATTCACTCACAATTTACATAGTTTTATCTGGACCCTTGGGGTAAAAATAGGATTAGGTGAAAATTAGATGGAACATTGAATCAGCATAGTCTTTATGTTGAATGTTGTCAGTGACTCATCCTAAGTTCCACTAAAATGGACATGCCCTTCTGTATTTTCTGATCAAGGGGGTTGTAATATAAGGAGTATAATGGTCAGATTATAAGTATGCATGTATGGAATAAATATCTGATTCTTTCACTGGGGACTTGTAAATTGGGCTACTGTCTCTCTTGCATCACACGACTACACTTTAAAAGCACTGATTCAGGGCTCGTGTAGCACAATGCTACTGTCATTTCCTCTGGCCAAGGTGGTCTCAATTCAAGTACCACCTGCTCCAGGAGTGTGCTGTAACACACCTGAACAGGTTGACTAGAAATATTCAAAAGCCACTGGTTGTAAAGTGTTTTGTGACCTCTTGAGGTTGTAAATAGAGCCATATAAATTGCATGTATATGACCCACAGGTGATGATAAGACAGATTTAAATTTGAGATACACAGAAGAACTTTTAAGCTATAAGGAAACAAGCCATTTGGCCTCAACCCAGAAATTGTTCTTCATTAATCTACCCTGTTCTCATTTACCTTCATACCCCTACATTTACAATCTCATATCCGATGTTGGAAAAGGTTTTGCCTGAAACCATGAACATGGTAATTAAATCCATAGCCTACATCTCTTCTGCCCTCAGTCATATATAATTACTCTTAGAACCCAGATTCCTCATTCCAAATCCGCAACTCCTGGAAATAGTCTGCTTCTATGTTCCTTGTCCAATAATTTGATATTTTTAACAATTCTTTCATGTTAATCATAACTGTTTAACCAGAAAAACAAAACACAATATTTAAAAGGTACACCTCAATCATAATCATTTATTTACAATAACATAAGATAGTAGTGCACAAATGACAATTTCAGTCTGCAAAGTTGTAAATAGGTTGTAGTTAATTACAGCTTATTCCATAAAGTCTAACAAAGAAGTCAGACATTACTTACATTATACACATTCTTTGATCATTAACAAGAGGTCTTGCAGTGTCAGTGAAACATTCCTAGTAAAACCAAGAATAGGGGAATATTTTACTTCTGTTAAGTGTATAATCAGGAAAACTGCTTTATGGGTGGGGAGGGGAGAGGTGGTTACACACAAGTTAACAAAGGAATGTTCTCTCATGTGCTATAGGTACAGAGTGTTGTTGGAATAAGAGTTCCAGGAAGTTGACTGTCTTGCAGTGAAGGAACAGCAATATACTTTCAAGATGGTGTGTAGTCTGAAAGGGAAATTCAAAGTGATAACGTTCCTATTGTCGTGAAGTTGTGCAGAGTACTTGTGGATTGGGAGGCAGAAAGTTAGAATTTGGGGTTTGTAAAATGCTAGGGATAATGCATTGGGTGGTCCCTTTAAAAGATGATGTGCTTTTGCTGTGCTTAGAGATTTAAAATGGATGTCTGTGAGCAGCAGCTTGAAAGTTTGCAAGTAATAGAAAGCACCCGAATTGAAACATTTGTATCATAAGGCCGTACAGTTAGCAGGCCAAGCAGCACCTTTTACCAAGACAACAGGCTTTTGAATTTAGCCAATCAATTTGAACCAAGCACTTAGATACCAAAAACCAATTCAATTTAAATTTAATGGTTTTGACAACATAGGACCAATCCTATTGTAAGAAATATTGAAATGTCATCAAGGGTATTAAAAGAAGGGGACAGTTAGACAAAGCCACAGAGCTAGCTGCCATCTGCCAGAGCTGACAGCCCTCAGCTCTCAACAGAACCATTGCCCTACACAGCCTCCTCTATGTCTTAGAAAAAGCACCATCTAAATAACAGCAGTATCACCGTGGGGAAGTGGTTCTTAACATTGCTAGAGAGGTTCTGGGGGGTCAATGATGCTTCCTAAATTTGCCAAGAAAGTTTAGAAAGACAGAAAAATGATGACACTTGTAGAACTAGCAAACAGGCTAAAATTAGGGATAACTAGGGATAATAAAAAAGCTGAAATTGTAACAGAGCTTGGCTTGTTGGCCAAGCATTTAGGTTTATCAGAGAAACAGTCAAGTGCAGTGGAGTTAGATAAAACTAAATTGCAAATGAGGCAATTGTAGTTGGAGGATAAAGAACGGAAAAGAAGATTTCTAATAGAACAAAAAAAGGAA